ACCGAACCGAACCGAAAACCGTGACCACGAAACCGTGAACCGAACCGTGGATTTTGTGAACCGTTCCACCCCTAATATATCTATTAGTCGTGGAAACCTGATCAGAGCTAAATATTTTCATCATTAAGGAAAATACTGGTATAAGACGGGGATGCACAAATAAAATCCATGTTTTTATTGTATATTATTTTATATACACAGCGAGTAAATTATGAGAAATATGGATTAAAATGTTAGCTCGTTAGCAAGCTTGACTTTTTTTGGAATAAATAAAAACTAAAATCTACTCTTAGTAAACTTTGAAGCCATGCCACTATTTCAAGTTATTCGATGATAACTTTCATATTTACCCGTTGGAAAGTGACACGCTAAAGATAAAACATTGATCAAACTAAATATATTCAGATTAGCCTAAAAATCACCAGAGAAGAGAAGTTTTAACTTGGAAAGACCAGAAAAACACTGGACTTGATGAAGAGTAGGGATTAGGGCTGGGCCAGTATTTGCATTTGCAATATAATCGCAATTTAACAAAACACTACCTTCAGATCGCAGAGGAAACCAATTATAATCACACTATATTTAACAAGTGTAAGACACTGCAGTTCACGCTCGGCGGTAAAACACATGAAGTGTCTTTGTCGTCACAATGAAAGGTATTTTTGCAGCTAGCATGCAGCTCTGTGCACACAAGTAGAAGCCCTTTTAGACACAAAGACAACAGTAAAGTCTTACAACAAATGACTCTGGATAAGAAGGATTTCAAAAACTGAAAGGCGGGGGTGAACAAAAAAAAAAAAACCTGGCAAGTTTGGGTTTAGGGTAAAGGAAATCCGAAATAAAACCGCAAATGCAATTCTGTTAAAATAATGGCAATTTAGATTTTTGGCAAAATCGTTCAGCCCTAGTTGGGATAACTCTAAAATAAGTCTTGATTCAGCCAAGGTGGTTTCTTCAAATAAAAATGTAAACCTGCACAATAAATTCTGCCTAAGTCTGCATGACTGGACTGCATTAGTTATTCATGTATAAAATACATGAAATTAATAAACACATGAATATAAATCCTTGACAAAACATTTTTTTCTCTAAGACAGGATCTGTTGTGAGTTTTTGTTTTATACAGAAATTGAGTTGAAAACAAACTAAAGAATTGCTGGTGAGAAGTTAGAGGGCATATTGTGTTAGCTTTGCATGTTGGCAAAAAAAAAGGTAACAATAAGCTTTTCAAAATAATATCAGTTACTTCAGGTACTCTACAGAAATGAGGAAATAATTGTGATAAGGTCAGAAATACTTTTATTACACAGCGAAGTTAAAACACTTCCTGATTTTATGCTCGTTTCCATTCTATTGTAAAAATGAAAGCTGTTTTTTAAATGTTCAATTCAACAGTCACATCACATCTAACAGTTCAGATAAAAATCATATTGCAAGAAATGAGAGCTAAATGTAAACAACTGATGCCATCCATGAAAAAAAAAAAAAAAAATCCAGATATTTCAAAAAACAGGAAACTCTATTAATCCCCCAGCTCTGGCAATGTAGTAAAAGGATTTACATCGTGTTGGATAATTAGTCCTTTTTTGCCACTTCTTATCTTTATTCATGACATTTCGAAATTGCTTCACAACTGAGAATGAAAATAACGTTTCAGTTAAAACAAAGCTATTCTCTTCAGGTTAAAATCTGGATTTGTTTGCTCCATGATGTTTCATAATAGCTATGTGTCACTAACCAAACGCTAAGGTGACGGTGCAAACCCTCATTCAAAGTATGCTGAAAGGAAAGGTGGTTGGGTTCTTGCAATGGTAATACAAACTAATACAGAGGTCTATCACTTCATGCTTAAAAAGAATTAGTTTTATTGATCTAGATAGAAGGAAGGAACATCTTAATGGCATGTTTTGCAACATTCTTCTTTCGATTTTAAATCTGATGTACATATCTGTGTCTTAGCTGTCAGAGGGAGGAATAAACGGTTTCTGAAAGCCTTCTGTAGCTTATGATTTGTGTTGGTGTACAAAGTTTGTATAGAGGCTCTTCAATTAGTTGGTATAGTCCACATCAACTCACCAGTCCCTGGTATCGGAAGGAGTCGTACACACTCCGCATGAAGAGCCAGAAGGGCCAGAGGTACTCAAACCTGAACTCAAGCACAAAGTCTGCCAGCAGCACCAGAGCCCACACAACCAGGAACTTCAGGTACAGGAAGGTACTGGAACAAGAAAAGAAAAATATAGTTTTTAATCACACGTTCTTATAAAGCGCTGATCAAAAATAACTTTCCAACGTATTCTTCATAAAATAGGTGCTCCCATCAGCTGCAACTCCTCCTCTGTTTGCATGCCAGTTGTTATATTGGAGAGGAGGCTACAGTTCATGTCATTCTTCCTGAAACAGCCTTTTTTTATTGTATGTTTAATTTGGGAACAGGGAATGATAATGTCTAAGTCAACATATCTAGTATGTTCTTTACTACACATTTGTTCCTATTCCTGTTAACAGGATTTATACAGGAATGAGTAACTTTAATTTAATGCTGTTAGAAATAATTTTAATGCTAGCATCAGGGTACCCATGACTCTCATATAAACACGGCAAAATCCTTCGTCACCTTTACCATCGACACCTTCCTCGTTTTCCAGCCACCTTTGTTGAAATTAGCATTTTTCTAATTCTTTATTTTTTTTCTCCGCCTCGAGCTTCTTTTCCGAACATACAGCTTTACGATCAACCGGAAGCAGTTCCTGTGCAAATATATCGCAATAATAATATTGTTTTTATAATTATTTTTTTTTAATAAAGCATTTTAAATGCCACAATAATCACATTTAATTGGAATGCCAATTCAGGCCTTAATTAAAAAATTTATAATTTAATGAGTTTTAATGATTTTTAATGATCCGTGGAAACCCTGTGTTAAGGACAGAACCGGGACCTACAGCTGAAATTTGATTCACCTAAAGACTGAAGGATTGTTTTCAAATAAGAAACAGTTTGTTAGTTCATTTAGGTGAAGGAGAAAATCAACTTATTAAATGTGTAAATAATTTATATCTGATCTTCACTGAAAATTAATCCCGTTATGATAATAAATATGTTTTTAACATCTTGCCACATAGTAAAATATGTAACTTTCACCTGAATAAAGTTTCTATTATAAGTTAAATTCATATGTTTCAGCTAATTTAAAGGAAGGGCCATTAATCACAGTTTTTGTTGTACTTTAATTTAAAAAAAAAATACACTATGTACTCATCTGCAGGTAACTTATGATCAACATACATGATCCAAGAATTATTGCTGTTCCAATACGGTAGTTACCTTATTTTCTATCCCACATACATGACTTTAAATGCTGTCGTCATGACACACCTATTTAAATCAGATATTAGGCATAATATTGTTGTTGCATGCATGAGTTGAAGCCCATTGGCAGTGAATTCAAGTGATGCACTTAGTCCAAGCATCACATTAAATTATGTATAATACAAAGATATACTAATAAAGCGATTAAGCACTAGGCTGGGATGCTTTTACGATTATATTCAAAGGGATGTTCATTTTGGTTGATTTTATGTTTTAGTTCTTTTATCTTCTATATTTTTTTATTCATTTTATAATGTTTTTATCAACCTTAGTGGATTTTATGGTGTTTGCATTTCAGCTTTCATGCACTTTGGTCCTATTGGTTTATTAAAGTGCCATATAAATAAAGTCAGATTAGATCTAGATGTGAGAGGGGGATTTTACTTAATGCTGTGATTATTCTCACTTTTGTTTTAGTTTAAAAGGAGATATAAAGTTGGATTATGACTGAAATGTGAGCTGGTAATTTTGACGGCAGCAAAATAATTTTTAATCTGCCCAATATCTTCAGACCTCAATGTTTAACCCTTTATAGGGTAAGTTACCATTTTTGATCACTTGCCCTTAGAAATTGAGTCTCCCGTCCCACAGTGAGGTCTAGAAGCACAAGATCTATACCCAGCCATTCAGCTAAGACACTGCTACATGGCTGTACATCTTATTTTGGCATTTGAACAATTAGATGAGCCCTTGAATGAAATATTAGCTACTGTCAATTAAGTTTGGATAAAAAAGTTAACAAGAAAAAAAAGGTAAAATGCTGATTGAAAAAGATTTAAAAAGTAAAGTTAAAAAGTTAATAAGCCTAGTTAACCCTTTCTATGGCACCCAGTGAAATACTTTGAAAATCAAAATCCCTATTACCTTTGTAACATTAAAGAAACATGAATATTTTGATGGCAAAAATTAATATCAATGTAATAACAAGAAATGGCAACTTGCCCGAAAATATTAATAAAAATAAAAGTTCTTCAATTAGAAATTCATGAAAAACACTCTTAGAGCACAAGAAACATTATTATTTTTATTTTTTTTTGGTCCAACATAACCTTAGAGGCATTAATGCTGATACTGGTACTTACATGTTTTAATTAATAAACCTAACTATAATTGTTTACTGGTCTTATTAACTTTTTAACTTTTCAATTAGCTTTTAACTTTTTTTTCCAACTCAATTTACAGTATGTAATATATCATTCAAGGGCTCATCTAATTGGTCAAATGCCAAAATAAGATATGCAGCCATGTAGCAGGATCTTTGCTAAATGGATGGATATAGATCTTGTGCTTCTAGATCTCACTAAATGAGGGGGGGGGGGGGGTTCATTCTTGTAAGGGAAATAAAGGGTTAACAAATATATTTAGGTTTATAAACTACAAAATGTAAGTAACAGTATCAGCATTAATGTCTCTAAGGTTATGTTTGACCAAAAAAAAAAAAAAGTTTCTTTCACTCTTAGAGTATTTTTCATGAATTTCTAATAGAATAAATTTTGTTATTTTTCTGAATATATTCGGGCAAGTTTCTTGTTATTACATTGACGTTCACTTCTGCCATCAAAATATCCATATTTTTTTAATGTTACAAAGGAAATAAAGTCTTGTCCTGGACTGCAATAACACTATTGGCCTATAAAGGGTAAACTAGTGGCTGATTGACTGATTGACTGGGCTATAAATAAAGGAAGCCACCCTGTCAGCTTCAGTTTAGCTCAATAGATGAACATAAACCTCCAGTGAAGCTGCCTTACACAGCAGGCTACCTTTGACAGGAGCTTTCTGGGATTTAAACTGATATTCTGAGCTGTTGGGTTAGTAAACTGTGTATCGCTGCTCCAAAATAAACCCAATGACATAGCTCAGAGCAGGCTGTAATGGGGCCTAGCAGCTTAGTTAGCTCAACAGCTAATGGTACCTGCAGCCAAATATCTACAGCTAGGTTGTATAACAGCACCTCCCGCGGAGGCGGCTCACTCTACGGGGTCCAAACTTGGTCAGAGCCGTGGTGTTTAGGTTGTTCCGTGGAAGTTACCTGCCGTATATCCCCTCGGTGATTCGGTTCCGTTTTAAGGGCCGTCTTAGTTTGCTGCAGTCCGCATTGCGCCGCTTCATCCTCCTCCCCTTGGCTTCGGCCTTCGAGTAACAGCTATAATCTTATCCAGTTTTCTTGCGTATAATGACAATGATAATAAATAAAATAAGCGTGGTGTGTGTGTTGCTGTTGTTATTATTATACCCCCCCCTGCTGAACAGAAAGAAATAAATAAAGGACTCAGTTCAGGATCCTCCTCTTTTTCTGTTAGCGCACGCTCAATAAGCACAAACCGCGCTTGGTTGTATGTACGTGACGTTGACGGACAGACCGGACAGCCAATTAGCTTTTCTGTTTTCTTTGACTGAGCGGTTCACTGACCAATCAGATTTCACCAAAGGAGCTCGCTCTCTTCTGTCACAGACAACGGAGGAACTGCGTTTAGAGCGTCTCACCAACCAGCCAATCATATCTCTTGTGAACAAATCCACGAAATCTGATAAACCAATCAAAAACTGAAAGGGGCGGTATATTTCCAGAAGGCTTTTTGGTTTTATTATGAGGAAGAATGTGCTGCCAGTGGTGCAAAATGTTCTTTTTGTCACTTACAAAAACAGCCATTCCACCAATTGAGGCTATTTACATCAGGGGCCTCTGTGAATGGACGGACAGGGCCAAAGGCGCTGAATATATGCTTTGTTTAAGGTAGCATGTGAGAAAAAAGATAAGAAATGAGAAAATGTTAATATGTAAAGTTGGTATATATAGTAGATTTTTTAAAAATAGCCAATAAAATGTATCTAAAACAGAAAACAATAATAATCATCACGTCTTTATTGAATCATTTGAAGAGATGTATGCAAATCAACATTATTTTGGTTTACATTTTTTGTGATAAAAATACATATAAACATAACCATTTTTTATTATTATTATTTGATTATACATGGAAGAGTTGGGTTCTTTTATTATCACTTTTTAAAATATACAGACATGTGTTCCTGTCCATCAGCTGATAAAGAGCTGAGTGGGTTGCGCCCAGTTTCAAACCGTCTTGGCAAACATCTATGTGTCAAAAGCAGAAAAAACACTGACCAAATGGCTCCTAAATACGCTCCAAGCCTTCGCTCCCGCTTGGCTCCTATACTTCTTATTCTGCAAACTGGATTCTTTATCATAGCTGCACTTTGCTTTGAGTACAAGCAGTTCATCAGACTTGACAGGGAGGCCTTCATCGACTTTTACCCAGGTAAGGTTTAACATTTGTTGCGAGCAACATGATTTTCATTTTTGCATCATAACAGTTATCAAAAACTGTTAATTATTTTGAAATGCGTTAATTATCAATTATTTACAATTTATTAACAGGTCATGCTGATATACTGCTGTTAATTATAGTGGATTCACTGGACTTTATTTGTGACTGAGGGCTTCTGCTGTTTTTTTTTTTTCAGAGTTCCAGGATGTGAATGTGATGCTGATTCTTGGTTTTGGCTTCCTGTTTACCTTCCCAGTGCGGTATGGCTTCAGTGGCTCTGGGTTCAACCTCCTTGTTGCCGTCATTGCAACCCAGTGGGCACTCATACTGAATGGCATTAATTCCTGGTATAACACCAAAATCAGAATTGATTTAAAAAGGTACAGTTAAAAAGTAAAAGTGTCGATTTATTACAGTTATTTGCCTCAAGAATAGAGAAACATTACTACTGATTCATTTCAAAAGCTTTTTTTCCTGTTCATTTTGAGGATCAGAGCTTACAGCACATAAAAACCCTCAAAGTTTATTTCTTAGAAAACTGAAATATTATTATAATATATATTAATACACAGAAAAGTCGAGAGGAAAAATCTATTATCTATTTTCTGAAAAAGAAATAAAAATATCCAGGAGAATAATTACATATTTTGCAGTACATCAAAAGAAATACACTGAAAAAAACTTTTTAATGATGTTCTAATTTCCAAACATGCATGTATAGTAAGAATTGCATTCTAAATTTTTTTTTTTTGGCAAATATTTTTTCATACAGCATTATAAATGCAGAGTTGTGTACCATGTCTGCTCTCATATCAATTGGAGCTGTATTGGGGAAGACAAACCAAGTCCAGCTCATCCTGATTGCTCTGTTGGAAGTGACTGGATTTATCTTAAACCAATGGCTCCTCCTTACGCTCCTGAAAGTAAGACTTGTCCAAGCATTTTCAGTTTTATTCAATGCAAAGCTTTAAAATAATGCCCCAAAAGTCAAATTTTCACTGCAGCTCATTTGAAATTTTGAACACATTTGTTGCAAGAGTTCACAAAGTAGTGATAAAGTGGTTATTTATGGTCTTTAGGTCCGGCCCCTGAACAGCATCATGTTGCTTTTTGTGTTCGGTTCCCTCTTTGGGCTCATGCTGACATGGATCCTGCACAGAAAAACCCAGGAGAAAAGATTTGAGAAGGAGAAATTTGACAACAAGTCTGGGTTGTTCTCAATGCTGGGTAAGAGACTACATTTTGATGTCATGTTAAGCTGTGCTGAACTTAGACATGGGCTGTTTTGAGGTATTTGAAGTATGACAACCTTGAGTAAAAAATAGTTTCACACAATCAACTCAAACACAATAAAACCCAAATATAGAAAACAATTAAATTGAATTTTATAGAATTTTACAATTTTACTATAAAATAGTTTCATATACTTATGATTATTAACAGAAAGTTATAATAGTTGACTCCAAAGAAGTGTTCCTGTCTATTGGTATCCATAGCAAGTCATTGGATTTAACCCTTTACAGGGCACTCAGTGAAATACTTATAAAATCCAAATTTCAACCCAATAGTGTTATTGGAATCCAGAAAAAGACCTTATTTATATAGTCTGGTGGCAAAAATTCATGTCAATGTAATAACAAGAAACGCCAACTTGCCCGAATATATTAAGAAAAATAACAAATGTGCTTCTATATACTGAGGGTAGGCTTATTACATTTTTTACTTTTCAATTAGCTTTTTACTTTTTTTTCCAAAATTAATTTATAGTAGGCAATATATCATTCAATTCCTCATCTAATTGGTCAAATGCCAAAATAAGGGGGAGCGGGGGGACTCCATTTGTAAGGGATCAAAAATGCTAACTTGCCGTATAAAAGTTTAACTTCACACCCAGCTTCACCATGCTTCCTAAAGAGAACCCCTGTGCCTCTCTAGGCACTCTGTTTCTCTGGATGTTTTGGCCCAGTTTTAATTCCATCCTGGTGGATGAAAACCATAAACTGCGAGCTGTGTGCAACACCTACCTGGCCTTGGCTGTCAGTGCTGTGACAGCAGCTGCTCTGGCTGTGCTCTCCAGTCCCAGAGGAAAACTCAACCCGGTATGATCTGACCCTCTGCATGTTTTCTATTATTTTACAGCTTTATGTATAGTTTCAGGATTCAGGTCCTGTTTATTTATAGACCCAGGCTCGGACTGGTAATCTGGGCCAGTCCTAATTTCAACGTGCGAGGGCCGGCCCTCCTTAAATCATACCAGCCCCCAACACTTACTCTTTGGCCAAAGCACCTACCTGTGATAGTAAATAACTCAAGAAGTTCAAGAAGTAATCCAACGTTAACTACCTAAATGATGCATGCAGTATATATAGCCCTTCCTTGTCATGTACATCCTTGTGACGGTTGGGATATGGTGTCATTTTCTATTTCTTCAATCTGTAAAATCCTTGCAACAAACTAAATTGTAATAAAAAACTAAAATGCTTTCTTTAAATCAAACTGCGATGTTCCTCTTGCATTTGGCAAATTTATGTCAGAATATTTTTGCTAAAATATATTGCGTTGCATGATGGGCTTTTGCATCTAAAGGCTAACGTTTCCAGTTGTCACTACCCGATCCGTCCCCGAAGCACGATACATTCTGCGCATGCGCGAAAATGATAAAATAAATTATGTAATTATGGTAATAAAACTGCTTATTTCTATCCTTAACTCACTAAAGAATGCTAGTACACATCTGTAAAAAATGTTTAAAGACTTTTGTGAGACAATTTTTATGCTTTTTACATTTTCTTCGTTAAACTGCTTCTCTGACGTCATCAGACATGCTCATAGCAGTCCAGCAAAATATAATTAAACCATTTTCCTCTGCATTTTAATAGTTTCTTTCTTTAGATGACACACTAAATAGCATAAGGTTAAAAAGAAACGAAAACATAAAACTCAAAAAGATTAGATTTATGTTTAAATCCAACGCCGAAAAAGTAAGCCCCCGGAAGTAGCGTAGGATCTCATTTTCCGGTGCAGATCGGGAAGAGACGAGAGATAAAACAGAAAAGATTTAAAGGCATCTTTTTTGTCAGGGAATACATTTTTATCCTTTAACACATTATATTTTAGTACGTTTACTATTTTTGGGGAGGGAACATGTCATTTAGGTATTTTTAACAAAATAAAATCAAGGACGACCCGCATGTATATCAGGATGCGCATATGAGCTGATGACGCATGTGCAGAACGGATCATGCTTCCGGGACGGATCGGTATAGCGACACCCGTCTTACGTGTATTGTTGCCAGGTTGGTATGTTTCCCAATCTGGCAGTTTAGGATGGCGATCTATGAGTAAAAAATGTTTTTCTTTAGATTTATGGCCTAAGAGATCAATAGACTTTGGTTCAAATTGATTTCGTGTATCCAGGCGGCTTACAATCTTTTTTGGGCTGGAAAACGTGAGTCAATGACGGCGCTGTATGTGTAAGTAGGTGTCTGGCTGGCTTTGTGAAAGTGTTACGCAGCAGCAGTCACTGTCATGTCCGTGTTAATAACCAAAGGCAGTAAAACCGCATTATAGAAGTCTTGTTAATGGTTGGGGGTCCATAAGCGGACCGATGTAGATGGAAAAATGCCAGAGGTGAGAATCATTCCCAGTCCGAGCCTCCATAGACTTTAGGGAGAACTGAAATGTCAGCAATCATTTCTCAAAATTTTCCATCCCCAGATCCAAATGCAGTCAAGTATTCTTTCCGGTGGTGTTACTGTCAGTGTTTCCATGTCAGTAGTTGAACATCCGTGGGAAGCCATGGCACTCGGATTCACTGCTGCTGTGATATCAGCTGTTGGGTTCAGATATCTGAAGGTCTTTATCTACTAAATCACATTAACTCAATGCTTTCCTAAAATCTACACTTTAAACCTTGAGTCAATTCTGATTCCAGAACCTAATGCTGATTGCTTATGAGTGCCATGACACCTGTGCTGTCCTGAGCACCTATGGACTCCCTGGTCTGTTGGGGTGGCTCGTACAGCTTATCCTGCAGATAAAGAACTCTGATGATCACACGGTGTAAGAATGCAGCCAAATTGTGAAATGCTTTATAAGAATAAGGTGCAGAGCCGTGAAATAATGGTTTTGTTTTGCTTTAGGATGCTCCGTTTCGTTGTGTTTCACATGTGCGCCCTCTTTATCACCATCTCTGTAAGCTTGTTGACGGGAATCCTAACAGGTATGTTTGTTCTTATATATCTAAGTGTGTATTTTGGGTTGATTTTGATTATATGATTTACAGCAAATAAACAGACAAGATTTTTGCAAGTTTTTGCATTTCTTAGCAGCGTAACCTTGTGGTTAAAAAATAAGAAACCCAAGTCTCCATCTTGTCTGTCATCCGTTGTCTATGGAGTTAAGCTCAGGTTCTGCATGATAAATCCCTGTTATTCCAGATTCATTAAACTGGTATGTTTAGTGATGTTGGCAGGTATAAAAAAAATCCAGCTGGAAAATGATAGAATTTCTCTAAAGTTTATCAGCAGAGGAGATGGATGCGTTTAACCCACCGGGGGAATGGCTCTCCTGACTCTTCATTTGAAAGAAAAAGAACACTAGACCAGCACCAATATATTTCCCTCTAGCTTTGATTTTCTCCTGTAATTTTGATTTCTCAGTAATTCAATTCAATTCAATTCAGTTTATTTAAATAGCACCAATTTACAACACATGTCATCTCAAGGCACTTTACAATTCACCAGATCATACAGTCAAATTGATTCAAAGTTTTCTAACTAAGGAAAACCAGTTGATTGCATCAACTCATTCACTCAAAGGCAATCCCTCACACTAAGCATGCTTGTAGCGACAGTGGAGAGGAAAAGCTCCCTTTTAGCAGGAAGAAACCTCCAGCAGAACCAGGCTCAGTGTGAGCGGCCATCTGCCGAGGCTGACTGGGGTTCAAGGAGACAGAAGCAGAGATACAAAAAGCAGCTGTAAAAGGCGGCCCCGTCCAGGAAACACACAGTTAGGCAGACGAGCTCCGAGCCAACTCCCATGTCAGAGGATGAAGAGAGCACATCCAACCAGTCACGGTCAGAGAAACAGGACTACACTGGAAAAACAGGCTGATCTCCAACATCTAGAAACAAAGGTGTTGATGGTCGCAGCAGTAATACATTTCTAAAGTTGGTCGTGGTTGACTTAAAATAAGTAATGTAATAGCTTAAAGCTAGACTTACACTGTGTGATATTTTCGCCTTTTTCAGGACGATCTATCAGTCGTGCAAGAATTTTTCATTCAGGCCCACTATCAGTCTGGTCGGTCGTTGTGTAGTGCACAGGGGTTAAAGAGGGGCGATCAGCATCTTACGACCACCTCCTGATAGGAATCGTAAGGTGTGGAGGAAATAAAACATGTTCGAAGTTCAGTCGGCCGTCGTGGGCAAATCGCTCATTGGGCGTGCAGAAACGAGGATTCTTCTTCTTTTCTCTAGTGAGCTTCATATTCCTCTTCTACTTGTTTGGCCTCCAGATTGACGAGTCCGAGTAGCGCCATTTCACTGCGGAGCTGAGTCCGACAGGGTTTTTAGACGTACGGTGTGAGCAGGTAGATCACATCAGAGCGCCGGGTCGCACAGACTAAGAACATACATCGTGAGCTGTGAACTTTCAAACGCTGTGGTTTCGTCGTACAGTGTGAGCTGTAGCTGCACGCAACAAGTGAAAAAATCGTACAGTGTACGCCCGGCTTAAGCCCAGGTTATAAATATGCTGATGTTGCCGCTCCAGGAGCACCGACTCCAACCAGAGCCCAAGACTAGAGACTCCAAAAAACCCTTCATAATCTGTTAAAGCCAGGCATACACTGTATGATATTTACAACCGTTGCATGCAGCTACAGCTCACACTGTACAAATAAACAACAAGGTTTAAAACTTCACAGCTCACAATGTATGTTCTCACACTGTGCGAACCGATCTAAAAACACATCGGACTCTGCAGTGAGATGGAGCTACTCGGACTCGTCTATCTGGAAGCCGAACGAGTAGAAGAGGAATATGAAGCTCACTAGAGAGAAATGCGTTGCCTTGGCAATCTGTGCAATTTTGTGCTGAAAGCCCTAAAAAGAAAAGGCGACTACGTATTTGGACAAAGACATGGCAGAGCAAACGTGGTTACTATGGTCTGTTAATTTTACAGAAATAACGCCATTTCACTCGCAACATCACCGTTCTTCTGTGTTTTCGTCTGAGACGAAGAAGAAGAATCCTTGTTTGCTCACTGAGTGATTTGCTCACGACGGCCGACTGAATTTCTAACATGTTTGATTTTTTTCCTGACCTCAAGATTCCCGATTGTTTAGAAACGCCAGTTTGAGGCTTCCTTTCTGTGAACAGCACCAATGACTGTCAGCCTCGGTGTCTTTCACAAAATATTTCTGTTTAAGAAGATCTGTTGATTTTTAGAGAAACTGAATTCTTGCTTTTTATTATCCCTAAGCTTTAGCCAGTCGTCTTCAGGAAAATATACTAAATATCAGAATGATTGTTTTAACGATAGTTTGAATTGATGTAAATCTGATATTTAGACTTAAAAATCTAGATAAATGCATGTACGCTATGATAAATGTACTTAAAGCAAAGATTTGGGTATTTTAAAGATGCCATTGACCAATATTCATTCTCTTTTCAAGCATTTCTTCTGAAGTGGAAATTTTGGAGAACACCACAAAACAACAAATGCTTTGATGATCAGGCTTTCTGGGAGGTATCATCTAATACGTCTAAGCCAAAAAAACAATAACAAAAAAAGTTTCAACGTCTTCATTGTTATTAATATTTTTTAAATATTTGGTGTTTTTTCAGTTTCCAAACCTTGTGGTACGAAAGTAAGAAGACGAAGGGACAAGTCGATCAGATCTGATCCTGGAAGTACATCCATCTTTGCAACCCAATAAAACTTTATAATGTTGTTTTTTTTACATTTCTGAGGTGTAAAAATAAATGTTTTTGTGTAAAAGAAATAAAAATAAAGGCTGAATGATAAGGAGATAAAAATCCAACTCATTTATTATGCAGCTTGTTAAATGATGTAAACAAACAGACACAATGTGAAGAGAACGAAACTGCTTTACTGTTATAACCCTGTTATAACTTTTTACTTATGTCTGACCTGCAATGTGAAATAAGCTAATTTAGTATTTAATTCAACTTAGTCAAGAGCAGATGAACTGTTAAAGCTGGAGAAAAATAAATCCAAAAAACACAAAGGTTAAGATTCAATAAATAAATAAAATATCTCCCTATAATTCCACTATAAAGTTTTCAAAATTTCAAGGATGTTTTATAAAGAAGTGAGCCGTTCCAAGGAGATGTTGCAGCAAAGCTCCTCTATTTAGATTTGGGCTTAAACACAACCTAAAAACCACAATAAGAACATAGATACAATCCGGCTGCAAAAACCTGAAAGTTTAAACTTTACAGACGTCTGAAGAGATTTCGATTTAATTTAATTACCTATAATACAGTAAAAACATAAATAATACATTCTAATTTAAAAAGATAAAAAAGGTTAAAAATAAAAAGATCATGAGTTTCAAGTTTCTTTTTGCAAAATTAATACATTTTGTGGGAAAAATGGCAACACCAGGATATACAGATGGCTTTTCTGCAAAAAAAACACAATAATAGCAAGATGATCTGCTGCATTAGAGTGCTTATACTTTGTTAATTTTTCTGAGACCTGAACTGCCTAATGAACGCTACATTGCAATAGGGATAAATGGCACTTATGAGGCACTACCACTGATCTCTATTTATTCACTGGATTCCTGATTGCCCGAAAAAAGTAAAGCCACCATCCGGCATGCTGGTACCCCCCGACTCCCACCGAGACACGAAGAAAAAATGACTACTTGTGTAGCATTTGGCTGCAAAAACAAGAAGTTTAACGGCTGTGTGTATCGTTCAAATCGGTCAAATCTTTGAGTTGCTTCATTTTTTATCAATATATGCATACATATATGTGTGTAAGATGTAATTACCATAACAATGTAATAAATACATGTGTATTACTTGCACATCTGTGTGCACATTATACTCCATTAACACATTTGTTTTGTTGTGAGTGATTTGTATAATATGTTATATTACATGATATATAGACTTCATTGACTTCATAATGACTATGCAATTGGAAAGTGCCTATTTTTTAATTATAAGTTAAAGTAATCTACTGATGCTATGAAACAGCAAGTGTGTGACAAAGTGATGAATTTATCTTTATTTTAAAAATCTTTAAGTCCCCCTGAAAATGAGAACATCATTGTTGTTTGATGCTGTAGTGGACATATTGTTTACATTGCGACCGGTCCAACTAGGGAGTAACAATATGGCGGCCGGTGGCTTCACTTCATCCCCGTATAACCATAGATATCCATAATAAAGGATATGGATATGGATATCTATGCGTATAACCAATGGGAAATCAGCAATCCTGTGAATAAATAGTGATCAGTGGGCACTACCAAGAGAATCCACATGGAGGCAATGATGCTGCTAAAAGCCAGCATGAAGCCAATAAAAAGCCAAACTCCAGCGCCTGCAGAAAGAGATAAGGAAGGGCGGGTTACTGTGTGTAACACAGCACAGCACTTTATCTTTGATCTTTAACAGTGAAGCTTAGGCACAGAAAGGGGATTGGCTTAGAAATACTGATTGTTAATCAGAACTAATCTTTTTTTTCATGAGTGGAGCAATTCTAAAACAATCAAATGAAATCAACATATAAATACATTCACCGTAAACAGACATTCAACCAGATATTTAAACAGATGGTCCTCAGCAAACACAGGGAAGACTTAAGAAGTAATATTGTAGCAACAACTGGGAAAGTCTTTTGGAGTTAATATTTTGCTTAAAGTTTATGTCCCCTCACATTTGCACTAAAGCTGGGTGACAAGAAGACCATGAAATACATCTGAACTGCAGGGAAAATAAAAGAACAGGAAGCTTTTTTGAGAATCCATCTAAATACATACATAACTGTCTGTCCATCCATCGCGGGAGCTGTCTCCCCTCACTTAGAGAATTAGAAACTGCATTTAATCTAAACAAGCTGAGCAGGAAAATGTAGAGTTCAAACAATAAAGTAACTGTCTGGTAGATGTGCTGCATTCACTTGCCTTAGGTTTAGAAAATGGAATTAAGGTGTCAAGAGTTACCAACCCAATAAAGTTACAACCATTGCTGCAGTTTGCATTAAACAAGGGTTTCATATTCAACAATTGGCTCCAAATGAGAGAGACTGCAAGATGAAGCTACCACTCATCCATGACAACAGGGGGCTAGAGGTACCTGATAATTCAACAATTATGACAATATAATTGCTGTGACAGATCACTTTCTTTCTGGAGAAGCATTAAAAAAATTAACTTACATAAGAACTGCTTCTGTGGCTGTGACTTCACAGTTTATTTGAAACTGTCCCTCATGAGGATATTTCATAGCAGCGTCGATGGTGATTCACAATACTGAGCGAAAACTACAAAAACAACATGCTTGATAATAACTCTAAAAGAGACTCTTTATGAACAGAGGCTAAAACGAGGAATTAATAAATCTTCCTCCACGTTATCAATTTACACTTAAATTGGTTTTTATTCCATTAAAACTACACACAGAAATATTTCAACAAACTTTGACGATTTATATAGATTTATTACGTATCAAATTCCCATTTACTTTTACTATTTTTTAAACACATAGCTTTTAAATAACCCTTACATTACCTATATTCATTTAAAGCTTATTTATTTCAAATAATCAATCAATAATAATTGAATAATCATCAGGTTTAGTATCAATTAAACATATGTACCTAAAAACAATGCTAATGAGTATATTTATTTCAAATACATAAAGTTTATTGTTTAGAATTGCATGAAAGTAATATAATGTGTTTATGGTTCACCCATTCAACTATTGGATCAGGTCGGTATCAGCCAATAAGCTCCGCCCAGGTATTGCTATTGGATCGGAAAAACTGGATCGCTGCATCTGTACTACTAACAGTGGGTTTTAAAAAGAAAAAATTTATATTTTCAGAGGATAACCTATCAGTTTTTTTGTTATTGTTTGCATTTTTAATGAAAACCTTCAAAAATGCTGCAGAAGCACAGTGCTGCAGTTTGTTCATTATGTTACCTTCAGGTGTCATACGGAAAGTTAGACTTTTCTAAAAGTAAAGACGTTCAATTGTACAGTAGGAGTGTTTTGTTTGTTTCTTTTGCAACTTTTCTAACTCTGTTTAATCCAACTTTTCCAGAATGTTTAAGTTTCACATACAAAAGATGAAATGAACAAACAAATTTTACATAAAGATTGTTTTTCACTTTCAAAATGTTTCATGTATGCAAACAATGTAAAAAAAAAGAGTAAAAGAAAATGGAACTGAAACTGAGAGGCTATTTAACTTATAGGTGTGAAATTCAATATAATCCAATTGTGCAAATAGATAATTGCGTTTGCACCTGTGTGTTCTCATAGAGCAGTGGTTTTCAACAGGGGGTCTGCGACCCCTAGGGGGTCCATGGAGGTAATCATATATAAAATTGTAGATTATATATACAATTATATATACAAATATATATAATTAATTATATATACCATATACATAATTAGGGGGTCCCTGCTCTATCTTGCCATCAGTTTGGGGGTCCTTAGCCTCTTCTTTCAACCTTTGCCAACGAACAAACTCCTTTCCAAGGTCGACTCGTTTTTCCTCGCATACGATCCCTTACACGTTTTCTCCTTTTTGCCTCAGAAGGTTTAAACTTTTTCCTTTCCTTAGCCATGACCAGTAGTTGATAGGTGGAAAAACAGTAGAGCAAAAGCCTTAGCCCCATGACTATATCAGAGCCTGTGGCCATAAAGCGATACATTCAACTTATATAGTCTGTATTTCAAGAGGGGAGCCCAGCCCTAGCATTAATAGTGACAATCACTGTATATTGGCCTGAGTGATCATTAAAAATAACTCATATCTGTCAACTCTTTAGGTCACAAAGTTCCTTTAATCTAAGGCACCTACAAACCCCCCCCAAAAACGTTGTTTGTAACATTACTGTATTAACATTCACTTACTTTATTAACTAAGTTAGAGGTCATTACTTTAGTAAGTAAAATGGAAAAGTATAAAAACATAAGGAGCTTTGTCCCCTTTAGAACAGAGGCTTAAATAGGTTCATCTAAAGTTAGTTAATATTTACCGCAATTTAAACCTGCCATGTAAAAGAACATTAGAAAATGTGAATAATGAAGCAGATCAGAAAAGTTTTTATTCTCTATGATTGTAATTTTATTAATTAAATGGTACATCAATTGAAATACCGTACAAGGATTTTACTGAAAAACAATGACAAAAGAAAAAAATCATTTTCATGTTTTAATATTAGCACTCGAGGCAACAGAACATATGCTGGTTAAAATTTGTGCTATGCCCTCACTAATGGATTTACAGGGAAATCATGTGGAAGTCACATGGAGCCTCCTACCCTCCACTGCTTGGCCCATTCATCACATCAGTACTCTGAAAAAATTCACTTCTATCATCATCATCTTCATCATCATCATCTATTTCTTTGACAAAATTTGGTTACATTTAAAAAAACAAACAAAAACACATATGAACTGTGATTTCTAAATAGTGGTCTACAAAAATATATAGAAAGTAGTTGTTAAGTACAGAGACTTTATTTTTCAAGCACTTCAAAAAATTGATTCGTGCCAGCAATTAGCTCAGCTTCAACTAAATGGGCAAACACCGGAAAAAAAATAAAGCCTCTTAGAAAAGTCCAAGCAGTTGCAAAGCAATAGATATAGACAGAAGAATGACCCCAAAGTATCCAATGTAGCCGTAGGCACCGTTCATCCTCTTGGCTGGATCTGGGAATAAAGAAAAACAAAACAAAAACATGTCAGAGCAACAATAGACGCTAAAAATTACGGCTGAGTATTAGGGCTAGGCTAGAGATATTTTTTTTCTTCTGTTTCAAGAATAAAGTCGCAACATTACGAGAATAATGTCGTAATAAAGTCGTAACATTACGAGTATAAATCCGTAAAATCACAGAAAATAAAGTCGTAACATTACGAGAACAAAGCTGTAAAATTACGAGAATAAAGGCGTAACATTACGAGAACAAAGTCATAAAATTACGAGAACGAAGTCGTAACATTACGAGAACAAAGTCGTAACATTACGAGAACAAAGTCGTAACATTACGAGAACAAAGTCGTAACATTACGAGAACAAAGTCGTAACATTACGAGAATGAATTCATTAAATTTTTAAAATAAAGCTGTAAAATTAAGAGAATAAAGCTGTAAAATTAAGAGAATAAAGGCGTAACATTACGAGAATAAAGGCGTAACATTACAAGAATAAAGTCGCAAAATTTCGAGAATAAAGTCGTAAAATTTCGAGAATAAACTTGTAACATTACGAGAATAAAGTCGTAAAGTTACGAGAATACAGTCCTAATATTATGAGAAAAAAGTCACAACGACAATAGTCATAAAATAACGAGAATAAAGTCGTAATTTTAAGAGAATAAAGTCTAAAAATTACGAGAAATAAGTTGAATTTTATGACAACTCCTTAAAGAAGCACTTTCTTTCCTAAACTGAGGAATGTTGAGCATCATGTGAAGTTATACTTTGGCTCTGGTTTGACAAATAAGGAAATATTTTAGTGAACCAGCATCAAATTGGGCAGTAGGTCAAAGTGGATTGAAATTGCCATTTGGTGAAGCTGGTTGGAGCTTGAAGCGTTCTTTCTGAAAAGGGTTGCAGTATCATGACTTCATTCTTGTAATATGACTTTACGACTTTTTTCTCGTAATAGAAGAGCAAAAATATCTAGTCTGTCCCTAATACTCTGTCGTATGTCACAAATCTTTAACGCTCAGCCTGATTTCTTCCATAAATAACCTTTTCCCTAGAAGTTATCTCAAGTAAATAATTAAACAAAACTAGGTGAGGAGCAAAAAAAAAAAAAAAAAAAAAAAATCAGTGGCCGAACTTTCACCTAGGTGCAGAGATATCATTTAGAGTTCCCCTTACAAATAAATAATCATTATTATTATTAGGGGTCTTACCTCCTGTGTAGTAGCCCCAGGCATAAGAAAACCTGCTGGTCACCCAAATGGCCCCCAGCACAGATGCAGACAGCTGGTAATAGGAAACAGCAGAGTGAAATATGCAAAGTCACAGTGACTATCTATTTTCTGCATCTGAAAAGATTTATGTCAAATGTCGCAGGATCTTTGCAGGAAAATAATAAAAGATAAATACCGGATAAACAAGGGCAGCTATTGTTTGGAAAACGAGCCACTGGGGGTACACCTCCAATGTGTTCTGGTGGGCCCTCTGGATGCAGTTGAACACATTCTCCTTGTCGCTGTACATTGTGGGATACTGCCAAAGAAATATTAAATTACATTAAAATGCATTCAGACAAACTTCTCAGCGCCTGATGAAGTTATTATGAGCATTTTTAATTAGTAAAATCTCTCAATTGATGTACCTTTACGTTGTATTTCTTCCTGGCAGAGCCAACCTTAACAGCCAGATAACCGAGCATAATCCAGCTGTACAGGTAGGTTAATATTACATATCCAAAAGCTGAGGGCAGCACAGTGAGGACGTCCATCTTGGAGCAGTTTGTGACCTGATTGAAAGTTTCAGGCTGGCGGAATACGTTGGAAGGGCTGCAAAGTGGACGTTTTTATAAAGTCAGTGGAGTCAGGAAGCTGCAAAGTAAACATAGATCTATAGGTGCAGAAGCTGCCTTGGGTCGTTACGCGGTTCTTCCGCCATCTTTTGAGTGGCAATTGCTTCTTAGCAACTATTTCCCCACATGCTATATAAAAGTTGATATTAGTGTGACAGTATAAATCTACGGAAAAGGATTAGGGACACGAAAAAAAAAAAGTTGACTGATTTTTAAATTTGATCCCAGTTTAATATGGGAAAAATTCAGAATTCTGAATTTAATCTCAGAATTATTATATTTAATAATTCCAGCCAATTCAGTTTAATTATATAGAGTCAATTCCCCTGTACCTTACAATTCAACCAGATCATACAATCAAATTTATTCAATTGTTATCACAATTGCTATATTCTGATACACATGGATGGTGTGTCGGTGCTGTATTTGAAGAGGAAACAAAAACAGATTACAGTAGTGGACATAGCTGTCAACGAAGCCAAAGAGAAAATATACTTAATTAAAACATCAACTCAAAAAATGTAAATGATTGAACAATCATTCTATGTCACATTTTAAATCTAAGACAAAAGCAAACAAAAAAACGTAAAAAGGAGGAAAAACTAAAATAGTTTATCTGTCATATGAAAAAAAAATATTAAAAGGGGGGCATGACAACTAATTTTTTTCTCTCTGAATTTAATTATTGTTAAAATTACATTGATCTGCACTTTTAAAAATATCATGATTTTGTATAAATATCTGTATTTGAACACCAATATAAACCTAACATAAAGATATATATAAATTCCTCTAGTGTTTTGAGGGCGGAAATGTCACAATCAGTAACACGTGTTGTTAATTTTTTCCATATATTACAGATACATGTCCCTACATGAAAAACACAGCACAGACCTTATAGTTGTAAAGTTTACATAATCACTAGAAACTGTTTCATAGTTTTTCAGTTTAAAAAAAAATGCCTCCTACAAAATGGCGACAGCGTTGGCGTAAATCTGAAAACATTGCTGCGGCGTCTATTATTTTAAATCTATGTGTAGTAAACATGAGCCGTTACATAAAATGTCGCGAGATCCCCTGCAACGTCTGCAACAAGGGAGGGGAGCATGGACATAATGGGCGAAAGGACAACGAGATCGAAATCTAAACATCCAACATATAAGTATAGGAATAACCTTACAGTGTTGTCATAAAAATCCATTATCTCTATACACATAAAAAGGCGATCGATAAAACTATAAATAGAAACTCCATTTGGTATCTTTTTCTTGAAGGTTTACAAAATGCAGAAATGCAAATTGAAGAACCACATAGAAATAGATAGGGCGTTATTTACAGAGACTGTATAGATCTGTAATTTTCAGATGAAGAATAAAACCTTTAATCATTTAATTTTTTTGTCACAAGACAGATGCGAGACGAGATAAATTAAAGATGTTTTTTATATATATATATATATATAAATCTTTCCTTAAAACGGATTATAGCAAAAGCACTAACAGACTTGTAATGCATCATTTGTCTTACTGTATATTGTTATATACGTTGGATTATTTCAGTATTTCGTGTTATTAAATTGTAGCTACAACACCACTTTTAATGTTATTTCTTTATTTCATCAAAAATTATTTAAAACAACCTGCTCGACTATTTTCCAGAGGGGCTACTGGAACTGATTCGAACATTTTGGACGGATCAGACGCTGAATTTTTTTTTTGTTATTTCACCGTAGCCTGATGGTGTTTTATGGACACGTGTCGCCCAAATTTGTTTTTATCATATTATTATGAAATACATTGTTCAAGACGAAGCTGTGATATATCTAGAAAATCACTTAAGTTGAACTGAAAAGACTCTTACGAATGAACCGGTTGGAAAAATCGAATCGCTTGAATACGCTCACGAATGGAAAATTCCAGAACCCTGGTATAGTTGCTGTCTGCTGCAGTTTCTCCATCATTCCAGTGACGACGGTCGGAGGCTCAACGTCGAGAAAGAAGTGTTGCGCTTGTTTTCGAAATATTTGGCTTTAATCCAATATTTCATAGATATTTCGCTTTTGAAAGTACATTGTTGCTTCGTTTAAACACTTTTTGAGGTGCTTTTCTTCGTAGCTGGCATTTTTTGTCGACGATTTGAGAAAGAGATTTCGTAGCTAACGTAAACTGGTAAGACTACATCGACTATCCTAACATTTTTTATACGCTTTATTATTTGTAAATGAACCATATTTAAACGCACTTGATTGTTGTTTAATTTGTACGTATATCTAGCCTGAAAGTAATCAAACGTGACTTTAAACGACTTCCTCAAGATATTCAGTCGATCTGCTAGCTTGCTATGCTAACTTCTGGAAATTTCCATGGTTCTAGTTAGGCCATTGCAGTTACGCAACGCCATTTCTATCGCTAGGGTGCAGCATTGAGTAACGTTTACGTAACTTTCAGTCATTTCAGTTAAGTAGGCATCTTTTGTTTTTAGTTGGGAGTTAAACACTTAAAATATATCTCCCACCCCCCACCCCTTTTTGCAGCCTTTGGCAGAATCTCAGAACGATGGCTACACAGGTTAACTCTCACTCGGACATGGCTCAGGCTCGCCAGAGCGACGGCCTCCATGTGATCTTCGACCAGAAAAGCCCCGGATCATCTCGCTCCCGATCCCGCTCTGTCAGCAGCTCCGCCAGCAGCCGATCCACCGGTTCCGGCTACAGGGCGCGCAAAGGTCGCCGGGGTCGTTACAGGTCATCATCCTCATCCTCCTCATCTTCTTCCAGGAGCAGGTCATCTTCTCGCTCCAGGTCGCGTTCCAGGTCCCGCTCCCACCCTCGTTGCCACCGGCACTCCTCCCGCTGCCGGTGTGATGACCACCGCAGTTATGGCGGCGACCGATACCGCCGTTCCCCACCCAGGCGCTACAGGGCGCGCTCCCGATCCTACAGTCGATCTCCAGCCCGCCGCTATAGAGGACGCTCCCGCTCCTACAGCCGATCCCCTCCACGCCGCTACAGGGCGCACTCCCGCTCCTACACACGGTCCCCCTCAGCAGACAGATATTACCGCTATCGCCGGAGCTACAGGTCCAGGTCCCGCTCCTGGTCTCCGGCCCGCTGGAGCAGATACAGGAGGCCCGTGAGTCAGCTGAGATGCAGGTTTTCTCGTTCCCCTTCCAGGCCCTACAGGGGGCGCTCACGATCCAGGTCATCAGGACGCTCTGTCAGTCTAAGCGTGCATGGTGAGTAAAGCTGTTTTTATTGACTAAAATATGATGGAAGGAAAAAGGGATTGATTAATTAATCAAATCGTTTTCTTTTCCAGACAAAAGGGAACTCCTTGAAGTTGCCAAGGCCAATGCAATGAGGATGCTGGGAGTGGAGAAGCTGGACCTTCCTGAAAGTGTGAAGCCCATCCTGTCTGAGCAGCCAGAGGCCAGACGTCACTCACCGGAGCCTCTCACCAGGGTGAGGCAAGGGCCCCAAAAGACTCAGGTGGAGGTGAGTGGTCTGCAAAAGTAAAGGGCATTAAAAGGAAACGACTCTCCAGGCATTGAAAGGTTGGGAAAGCAGTTTCCTTTCCATTACGGTACAGTACTATTGGCCTGGAAAATGTTTTATTAAGGTAACAGATTTGTTGTTAAAAGAACATTCAGTTCTTTAAATTTGCTGCTGGTCAGTTTTTATTGAAGCTGACTCCTTACCTGCTCTTGATCTACTTTTTTTTTTTTTTGTAACATTTCCTGTCTTGTAAATCTTCTGACCCATGAGGGAACACACATGCTCTCTGTATTTATTCCTGTCTTCATAGATTACATGACAGTGGTCTCCTTCACTCATCGGCACCTGGGATAAAAAGGCTGTCATGTGACTTGGGTGACGACCATATTTGTTTGCGTTGACATGTTATCTGACTTGGATGTTTAAATGCTTACTTACTACATGGAATAAGAAAATATAAATCCATATTTGTCAGAGAAATCCGTTATTGTAGTTAGGTGTTAGTTCTGTGCCATTACAATGTATTTATGCTTTCAGATGAAATGGGTTATTGTTATAGCAGAATCTTCCACTCGCTGAAGGAGAACAGACATGTGTCAAGAGAACTTCTGCGTATCCTAAAGATAAGTTGGTACACAAGATGTGTGCTGAGGGGCTGGGGGAACCTGCGTCTTCATCATTGATCCATCAGTCTTCCAGTTAAAACTAATTAGTAAATGTTTATAACAGCTTCAATGTTTATCCTTCAGATTTTTATTTTTTTTAGTAATGAAAGGGCTGCATGAAAGCTGCAGTTTGAAAGTGCCATATATACAAATTAGTGATATCTTATCCGCCTTAGACCCGAGTCCATGGACTGTAGGTTGAACTGCGATTTGTTGCTCATGATTAACTTTTCATGTTTTCTCTCCTTGAATTAGGACGAGGCAGAGCCTGGTGTGTCCAGCCCGAGGATCGAACGGAAAATAGCTTTCAGTGTTAATGTAAGTAGGTGACTGAAAGATGTACACTTGACAGCCTAATGCCATCAAAACCGATTTTGACGAGAGCCTTGTTCTCTCTACAGAATTCTGTGGCCAAACCAACCGTGGTGGCTCCGCCTCCTGCAAAGGTAACGCCCAGGGTCGACAGCGTTGAAAGTCGGAAGCCCTATGGCCACTGGATTCCCATCAGTTCAGGACAAAGATCCAGTCCAAGCAAACATGTTTAATAAGCCATGTGTACGGCAGAGTACATGGACACTGTGAATAATGTACATAGTTTGTAAATATAATTTCGTGGTCATTTTCTTTCAGATGTTTAAAGATATAAATGGGAAGCAGTGAAGAATTCATTCAGGTGGGATTATTCCTTTTCATCTGTGTATTGTTTATTTAAACATTCAATAAAGAACTGAATAAAGAGTCCTGTCTTTTTGTTTATAATTGACAAAACAGTTTCTGAAGAAATCCTGAAGGCCCTAATAAATGCAGAATGTGGTTGAAACTTCTAATAAGCAGGCTGATTAAATACTATTACAGTTCCTGCACCAACCACATGGTGTCACTGTTTAGAATTAGCTGCAGAGCTGTTAAGGTCAGTTGACATAATTAGTTTGAAAACATTAAATACAATCTGGTTCCTACTGGAAATGACAAATTATACCAAGTTATATTTTAGCTAAAGCTCCCCTAAAGGGGATATAAACTTGAGTGTTTGGGTTTTGTGGCTGCTTGGCAACAAGGTCGGTATGACACAGGGTTTATACAGTAATGAGTAATTAAATGCTATTAAAAATTTTAATGCCTTCAAGTGTCCATGACTCAAACACAGCTAAATAAAACTTATTTAGAGACTTAATGATTGTTAATGACCTGCAGAAACCCTGTGACAGAATCCTGGCATTAAGATGCTACTAAATCATTTCTTAAACTAAGTCAAAAGGATAATCCATCAATAATGTCTTAACTTGCACACTGGGATTTCACATTTCATGTCTGCCCTAACTCAAGTTAGGACTGGAGTTACACAAGTCTTCAATTAAATTTAGGGTGGTACTTAGGATTTTATTCAGTCAGAGCAAATATGAAGTCCTTTCTTGAAATAACAGCATCAGTCAGTCCTATAGAGGGTGCAATGCCACAACATTTGAACTGAAGCCTCCAGTCACAAGGCTTTTCTGGTTGAGTCAGCCCTGGGCGAATTAAAACTGAGATAAAGGTGATGCTTATTACCTCTTTACAAATCCAGTATAACATCTTTGTTTCCTCATGCTACACTGAAAACACCCAGAGGTTTGATAGCATTTGATATCCTTAAGCTCAAAATACTTCCATCATAAGACCACACACAGTAAGAGCTCACAGAAACAAGATTACTGGATTTATTAAGAAAAGGGGGAGGGGGGTAATAGCAAGCTCTAATACTGTACAAGAAACATCAGATCTAACCCAACAGAACACGGTACATTACTTAAAATCCAAAGTTCAATGAAAAGAAGAAAAAAGCATCTAGAAAGATCTCTGAGCTGATGGGACGGACTAGACGGCCGTTCCTCTCTCCAGGTTCTGTTTGATCTCTGCTGTGTATTTGCCGTAGAAGCGCTCGGCCTTCTTGTTGAACTTGGCGTTCCTTTCGTTGATGTAGTCGATGTCTGCATCGTCGTTGTAAGCCCTGCGCCGGCTGTACTTGGCACGCTTCTCGATCCTGACAATCACAAAAAAAAAAAGGAAAAACATGAAGCAGCATGGCCCATATCCATGGCATGTCCAAGAGTTGTATGCAAGCAATATTTTCAGGGCATGTGTTTAAATTTGGCAGGGCGAGTGGCAATGGAAAACTTAACCTAACACAGGCACGTACGTACGTACATGCTCGGGGGAAAATACTGTCAATTTGTGAGCTCCTGGTTCGCCATGTCTTCAAAGAATGACTGTGTCAGACACTGGCAGCTAAGTCCTTGTCTAATGTTCCACAGTTGCATCTCCAACACAAACCTGAGACTTTCTGACGCAGAGCAACACATTGAAACACGGGATTATTAGACCAAATGTTTGAATGAAGACAAGTGCCAACATCATATATATATATATCTACCCATCTATCTAGATATACATACATCTATAGATCTATATAGAAAATAAGCATAGTGTAGAGCAGATGTAGATTTGACCAATCAGAGGCCTCCTGCCTGCTGTCAGCTACAATTTTGGTGAGGTGCAGCATAGTGTCTCTGGAAGGGGCGGGGCATATCTGCGTTAACTGCGACAAACATGCAGACGACCTGGTTTCTGAGTAAAAACCAGCCTTTACTCTGTCCTTCACTGCTTCCCTTTATGAATTTTTAGACCAACTGTCAGCTTGGATCAGGATTTATACCCTGGAGTTGATTTCTTTTCTAATTAGACAGGCTCTGGTCTATCACAGAGACACACTTACATTGCTGACACTTACTGTATCGCCACACTATATTTGTGGTGTGCCAGTGTAGGAAAAACATCTGACTCAACTTTCTCCCATCAGTGATAAATGAAAAGGGGCGTTGCTCATATTAGCCAAAGCGAGCCAGCATTGAGGCTATTCCAAACCTTTGCTTTTTAAAGGGGTTTGGAATAAAAGGATAATAAGGATTTAGTGTTTCTTCCTACGCTTTTGACTTCCTGTCTCAGTCCTTTGCTCTTTTTTATACAGAAAGCTGCCCTTTCAGGCTGTTTATGAATTAGCAGCTCACATTATCTCAAAGGTTAAGAAGCAGAATAGAGAACCGCTTTTAAGATTTACAACTGTTACTTACTGTTTCTCGACATCCTCCACCATGCGGTCAATGCCCTCCTTTGTGGGAACATGGGTGCCGTAGCTCAGGCTATTGGACGTGGGGTAGAAGTCCTCACCGCTGTGGAGCAACACCGGCAAAAGAATTAGAAATACTTAACCTCAGATAAGCACCATTTTAACATACTTAAACAGACTTTTCTATTCCACCATTGTGATGTTGAGCATCCCTATGATGCTCCCTCAGGGAAAACCATGACAGCCGATCCTTTGCAACGCCTGCATGTGGTAGCAGCTAAAGATTAAAAGCCCTCTAGGCACCAAAATCTTTTTGACCTTAGCATGCATGTTCTGTGCATCTACATTTAAAAATCTTTAAATTATTTCTGGATGGTGCGTCTGGGTCAAAGCAAATCCCAGGGCAAATCGGGGACTACGTGGCTGAGCAGATACTAATGGCTTTATTAAACACATGATGGGTGACTTCTAGGTTGGTCAAACTAGGCCTACAGCTCCAATTCATCCCCTTCTTTAGGAAATTATACAGTTATGGTCTTAATTCAGACAATTTCTAAATGGATCAACTTTTTTCATACTTTTAGTATGATTCAAATAAAGTGCAAAGCAAAGATTTAGCCCCAAACTTTCATAACTTTTTTTATTCACACAGATTAATGTTAGACAAAGATGAAATCTGTGGTAAATTCTCAGAAGATATAATCAACCTGGCTTCCTGTGAAAAACTGGTTACTACGGAAGAGAGTAGGTCCATTGGAAAAAGAATTTTTATTTCAGTTTAAAATGGGGAAAAAAAAGTCAGAATGCTGACTTTAATCTCAGAATGCTGAGTTTAATTTGAGAATTCTGACTTTAATCTGAGAATTCTGACATTTTTTTCTCAAAAGTCTGACTTTAATCTGAGAATTCTGACTTTAATCTCAGAATGCTGACTTTAATCTCAGAATTCTGACTTTAATCTCAGAATTCTGACATTTTTTTCTCAAAAGTCTGACTTTAATCTGAGAATTCTGACTTTAATCTCAGAATGCTGACTTTAATCTCAGAATTCTGACATTTTTTCTTAGAAGTCTGACTTTAATCTCAGAATTCTGACTTTAATCTGAGAATTCAAAAAAATTTTCTCAGAAGTCTGACTTTAATCTGAGAATTCTGACTTTAATCTCAGAATGCTGACTGTAATCTGAGAATTCTAAAATGTTTTCTCAGAAGTCTGAATTTAATCTGAGAATTCTGACTTTAATCTCAGAATGCTGATTTTAATCTAAGAATTCTGACTTTAATCTCAGAATTCTGACTTTAATCTCTGAATTTTGGATCTTAATGTAGATGGGCAGAGATGTGGGAGCACTCAGCTTCACATACAAAGATGTGAGCTGTTTGGGACGGCCAGTAACATATTGGTGGAAAATGATGAAATTAGGTGACTTTTTAGGTTCCTGATGGGTCCCCAGTGATGCTATTTCATTAATAGAAGAGCAGAAGGTGATTAAAAACAAGATAGCTAGTTTAGTCTCTAAAACAGGCATGGCTACAGGTTGATGATAACATGTTTGTTAGCTGACATAATTCAGTCAGAATTCTTAGATCAAAAGCAAAAACAAAAAGAAAAAAAAATTAAAAAACCGGTAAACTTCCTTTTTTTCCAGTGGCCCTAATCCTCTTCCATAGGGTACCTATTAAACATAACTAAATGTGTCTCCCTTGACAACAATAACAGCCAACAAGGGTTTACATCTCGCTGAATGGTGAGCGCTGATCTTAACGGAAGCAGGCGAGGCAGTTCTTTATCCAATCAGGAATCTTGTGTCCTCCTGGAAGGCCATCCTTTCCCAGATTCACCACCGTCCCGTGTTTTATCTACTGCTGGGTAGTGGCTCACATGATGCTTTGCTGAACTTTAAAACCTTAAAAAAACTGCTTTACCAACAGACAGATGTGTATCGCTTTAATTTTTTTAAGCTTAGAGAAGGATGTGCTGCATTTTAAGATCTTCTATCCCGTAATGTTGGACCACACGCTTTATTAAACATCACATCTGGTAAAATAAATAATTACAAAATCCCATTTAACTCACCTTTCCTCCCTTTGCTTCTCATAGCTCTGCAGGTCTGGTCTGATTTGCTTGGTGAGTCTCTGGTATTGACGGAATTGAGCCTCTGCATAACCTGCAGTCCGTTAAAACAAAAAAATTAATTATTAGTGGAACAAATACCAAGCAGATGCAAGGCACAAGCTGTAGATGATTAGAGAAGTATAAGAGAGGAAACTTTCCTCCTCCTATCCTCTCTGGGAGTCCCTCCTGTGAACAGCACCAATGTCCTTACATTTCAAGTTCGCTTTATGAAAATTTGCCAATCCAAATAAGTTAAAAAACAATCCACTGGACTTTGTTTCCAAGTTTGAAGACGTTTCTCTTCCCATCCAGGAAGCTTTTTCCAAATCAAATGATAGAAATAGCGTTGATTTCCAGGTTTTATACAGT